ACCCTGGCAAACAACATCATTTACACTTAAACATTTACAAAAAAAAACAAAAAACAAAAACGAAAAGATAGACTATTTTTAATTGATTAACTATAATATATTTATTACGGCTACCGGAACGAGATCATACGTGACGGATCACAATCAAGAATTAATTCCATATACGGTTATAACATATCCATCATCTCGGAAGTTATCCGGCTTAAAACAAAATTCACAGCGTAATATAATGCCTGATGAAAATCAAACTTCACAAAATCATATGACGGCTGATCAAACATTATTAGCTAGAGCCCGTAAAGCTCGATTCGACGACTTACCGAATTATTCAGGACATCCTTCGGAGGATGTCGAACGATTTCTGAAAACTATTAAAACCATTACAAAGGCAAACAATGAGAACGAGAATCGGGAGATACTCGAAATTGTCCGTGGAAAATTAACCAAATCGGCGAGAATATGGTTCGACAATAATGAACATACGTTCAATAAATGGTCAGATTTCGAAAGTGCATTTCGAAATCGATATTTCTCAACAACAGCAATTCATAAAAAGTTTGATAAATTAAAACAACGAAAACAACTATTTGATGAACCAGTTACAACATATATCGATGATATTCTTAATTTATGCAAGGAAGTAGATCCAACAATGTCCGATTCAATCATTATACAACATTTAATGAGTGGACTAAACCCCAATCTTCGTATGGAATTATGTCGACACGATTCATGCATCCATACATTACACGAGTTTATGAAATATGCCAAAATTGAACAAGATTTATACGACACATTTGGAAAATCTCGTACATTATCACCTGAATTAGCACAACGACCGTGTTACGAATTGGATAATACAACAACTCCTCAAGTAACTACTATGATTCGACAACCAAGACAACAAGATAAAGATATAAAACAGGATGGTCGTCATACACATGCCATGCCTGCACGGAGCTCCGTCGTTCAACGGAACTCGAATTACCAAATGAGAAATACGACAACAACATCGGACAATCGAATTCAAAATAATCCACGACGACACACATATTACAACAAATCAACAAATAATCAAGTATCATATCAACATGGAATTAATAATTGCAAGATTTGTGGTCGAACAAACCACTCAACATTTAATTGTTTTTATAAATGTACAACCGGATGTTTTAAATGTGATCAAAACCATCATATTCGTGATTGTACGATGCCTCAAAATTTTCAATAACTGGGTCACGCGATGGCGGTGTTCCCAGTAAATTTGTTAAGCCATCAACAACATCTTCGCCAGTTTACATTAAAATTTTTGTTAATGACCAACCAACTGAAGCCATTATCGATACAGGATCCGCCATCTCACTTATTAATTTGGATTTTCTTAAAACCATTCAGCACAGCAATTTGATTTACCAAACAAAATCATGTCAAACAGCAAATTCAACACCTCTTAATATTATCGGTCATATTAGATTAAAAATAAAAATGAAATTCGTATCAACTTATGCTATTACACATGTCACAACAAATTTAATTACACCGATTCTTTTGGGTAATGATTGGATTAATTCGAATCATGTGCATCTCTTTGGCGACCAGAAACAATTAACTATTCCTGATCAACATGGTCAATTAATTTCAATTCCATACGTGGAGCCTGCATTTATTAATTATCCAGCTCTATTAGTTCATCAAATTACTATTCCTCCATATTCACAAACATTAGTTGATATTCCATGTCCAGTTGATGATGCTAATAATTTTATATTTGAACCGTATGAACGATATATACCAAGACTTATTTTCATACCACACACATTATTGAACATTAATAAACATCAAGCCAAGGTACTACTTATCAATGCTCAAGATCAACCACAAATCTTATGAAAAAATACACGAATCGGAACTATTTCTCGTGAAACAACATATTTTGTATTTACTACGACCGAATATTCAACAACAACAAATTCTTTATTAAATAAAAATTTTCAAAGGTCACCTCGATCTTACAAAAATTTTAAAAGTAGAGATATCTTAAACAAAAAAGATAACTCGAATTCAACACAATTAAATGTTATATGTGAATTATGCAACGAATATTTTTTATCTGGAAACGATTTACAGAAACACCTACGAGCAAAATGTTATTCAGATCAGATTCGAAAACACATGCTCGAATCGACCAAACATATGGAAAATGAAAAACAACGATTAGCAATTCAAGATATATTATGGAGAAATAAAATATTATTTGATCCTACACCATCAATTATCAATATTCCTTCACAATCCGCAATTAAAACTGGTGATCATCCGCCTATTTATTCAAAACAATATTCCGCTTCATATAAAGATCAAGATATGAAATCTCAAGAAACACAAAAATTATTAGAACGTGGTCAAATCGAAGAATCAACTTCTCCATGGTCATCACCTATTGTTCTTGTTAAGAAGAAAGATAAAACTATGCGATTTTGTATTGATTATCGACGTCTCAATGCCATTACAATTAAAGATGCATTTCCACTTCCTCGAATCGATGAAATATTTGATCAACTATCTGATGCATTATATTATACAAAATTTGATTTCAAATCTGGTTATTTCCAGGTACCTCTCTCTAAAGGGGACCGTCCGAAAACAGCGTTTTCCACTCGCGACAATCATTATCAATTTGCAGTGCTACCCCAAGGTATTACTAATGGACCCGCAACATTTCAACGTATAATTAATCATATATTAGGACCTACAAGATGGAAATATGCATTAGCTTATATCGATGATGTAATTATATACTCAAAAACATTTCAAGAACATTTATTACATCTTAATGAAATTTGTACAATATTAAAAAATGCTCGATTTCGTCTTAATCCGGAAAAATGTGAAATTGCCCGAATTCAAACAGATTACCTTGGACACAATGTTAAAAATGGTGAAATTCGTCCAAGTTCTTATAATATTAATGGTTTATTAAATACAAAATTACCACAAACTGCTGATGAAGCTTGCAAATTTGTTAAAGCAGCTGAATATTATAGAAAATTCATACCAAAATTTTCTCAAATTGCTGAACCACTTCGGAAATTTGTTCCAACTACAAGAACCCAACAAAAGAAAGGACAAAAAGCTTTAATTACATTAACCAATGATGAATTAAAAGCATTCGACCAACTTAAACAAATTCTTACGACAGATATGGTATTACGACTTCCAAATAACAGATTCCCTTTTAAAGTACAAACTGATGCATCTGATGACGGAATTGGTGCAGTATTATTACAAATCTATCCAGAAGGAGATAGACCAATTGCATATCATTCAAAGAAATTTACTCAAGCTCAACGTAAATGGTCTCCTATGGAACAAGAATGTTATGCATTTATTTGTGCATTAGATAAATGGAATAATTATTTAAGTGGAATTAAATTTGTTTGGGAAACTGATCACAAAGCATTAACACAATTAAATCAAAAGGCTCAAATTAATAAACGATGTGAACGATGGAGATTAAAAATTTTAGAATACGATTACAAGGTTAAATATATTCCTGGATTAACAAATTCCATGCCTGATTATTTATCAAGATCTCCAGTTGATGATGCTGAAGAAGATCCCGATGAAGTTTCACTTTTTATTTCAAAATCAACACAAACCGATTTTTTAGATATTAACAATCAATCACCTGTCGTTACCGCTGTTCAAACTCGTGCTATGAAATTACGAAATTCAACTTCAAATGAAAAAAATGATACAACAATATTAACATCAGATACTCCAGTCGAAGAGAATCGAATAATTCCATTTTCAATCGAACAAGTAATGTAAGCACAACAAGATGATAATTATGTAAAAAATATTATTGACAATATTAAAAAACATACAAAATACTTTATAAAAAATAATATTTTAATGCGTCGATTAAATCCTCCAGTTCCCTACGTACCACAAGGTGAACTTCGTCAAATGATATTAAAAATTTATCATGATACCGCAGCAAATGGTGCTCATTTCGGAAGAGATAAAACCCTACACAAAATTAAAACACGTTATTTTTGGCCTTCTATGTATAAAGATATTGACAATTATATAAAATCATGTATTCTTTGTGCCCAATATAATCCTCGTCGGCACAAAACTCCTGGTAAATTACGACCAATTGAACCTCCAGATGGAGTATGGCAATTAGTATCTATGGATTTTCATGATCCTATTAACCCAACATCTCGTCGGGGGAACAAATATATTATATCTTTTACTGATATTTTATCAAAATTTATGGTTACAAAAGCAGTACGTGATAATACTGCTCAAACAGCTGTTAAATTTCTTAAAGAAGATATTATCTCAAAATTTGGTACACCTAAATGTATATTAACGGACAATGGTACACATTTTACATCATCTATGATGAACGAATTAATAAAACAAATTGGATCAACACATTTATACTCAACACCATATCATCATCAAACTAATGGACAAGTGGAAAGATATAATTCAACAGTGGATTCAAAAATTGCAGCCTTATCAAATTTACGAAAAACCGATTGGGATGATCAATTACCATTTGTAACATTCAATTACAATACATCAATTCATTCTTCGACCAAACAAATCCCGTTTGAAATGATGTATGGTCGAACACCTATATTACCAATCGATTATCAAGAAGATAATGTTACAATTTCATATGATGATGAACATATCAAGAAACTTAATCAGTTCTTACAAAAATTAAATGAACAAGCCAAAATTAATATTATTAAAAATCAAGAACGATATAAACAACGTTATGATACAAATCGTTCTGATCCAGCTTATGATATTGGTGATCTTGTTCTCATTAAAACAAACAACACCCGTTACAAATTTGACATTCGTTATGAAGGACCATACAGAATTACTAAAAAACTTACACCAAAAACATTTATTATTCAACACATCAAGAAACCAACTTTACATCGTCAGGTTACAACTGATGTGTTATTACCAATTTTTCAACGAATTTATTAACATCAGGACCTCTAATCTAAGAGATCCGTTTTATGATAATATGTCAAACCGAATGGCATTATTCATTATCAATAGAATTACTTAATGAAATATAATGTAGCATAGCAAAGCCGGAGAGTGTGAGTTTACCCCACTCACTGACTATGAAGGGCTATTATAATTTATTTGGTTTATGATTTTAATGAATAATTAATCCATTTATACGAAATACCCATTTGAATATATTAAATATTCATTTATTCTTGATCAATTTTCAGATAGCTAGTGAGAATTAAAAAAGAATACAATTTCGTAAAAATATTAATTGACATATGAACATAAGACAAAATATTTAATCCCTATCCACGAACATCTACATCTTTTTTTTATCTGATAATCATTAGTAAATCAAAATAACCTATCATAATCGATCTTTTAGTAAAATCGAGGCACGTGTTAAGAAATCGACTATTCCATATATATACATTTTTTTCTTTTCTCTTCTATCATCGTACCAATGTTATCTGAAGCCGAATATTATACCGCTTTACAAAACGTACACAACATTCCTTCTCATATTCAAGTACAACATCGACAGAATTATACAAAATTATTAAAGAAACAAATCAAAGAATATGAATACAATTTAAAATATGACAATTTTCAACCATTGCCATATATTCCGTACTTTGTAAACAAAACAACAACTGAACCAACATTACAACAACTCATACAAGCAGCAACATCATCATCCGAATTTATTATGGATACAGAATCAATTAATATATACAAAAGAAAAAATGAACCTACATTAATTCAAATCCAGATCATATTACCATACAATTTGTCTTTGGTTATGATCGTTGAAATGTGGCATTTACCTCGTAATAATACCACTTGTTTTACATTAATCAAACAATTATTTAACATTATCTTTACGACAAACAAAATTATTTATCTATGGGGTCTTAAAGATGAATTAACTCCTTTCGTCGATTTTAATTTATTTTCACATGATCAACTTCAATCTATTACACCAATTAATTTACAACACCAATTTAAATTATTTTGGAATGAACAACATACACATCGTAATCGTATTTCAACATCTGATGATATATTAGAAGAAAATTGTTTATGTGAAACGTGTATCGGCAAGAAATCCTCAGAACCTTGGTCTCTCCAAGATTCGACAGCATATTTGCTGAAGGAGTATCTTCCGAAAATTTTAACTAGAGAAAAATTTAATTTAGGATTAGATCCACACTTATTTAATTTAGATTTTCAAGAACGACAATATCGACAACAACTTACAAATTATGCATTAAACGATTGTTTATCAATGCAACGAATATTGATAAATATGAAAAATGAAAAATTCGAATTTAAATTTCATTCGAAGAAACCTATTAAAAATAAATCATTTCAATTATCACAATTTACTTCAGATGAAGATGATGATGATTTATTCTCTTCACAATCGACTTCAACATTTTCCAAACCTCAAGAAAAAATTTCCAATCAAATTATTTCTTCAAAAAAATTATCCACTCCATCTATCATAACTCTGGAAAATAATTTGATATTATCTACTCAAAATGAATTAACTATGAATCATCCACCAGAATTAATTCCATCATTAGTTGGTTTACAAGGATACTCACATGATTGGAAATCTATACGAACGAATGAAAATAATAGTAATTTACTTGATCATGCAAATGTACAATCAGAATCAACATCAAATTTTAATGCTCAAAATGAACCAAAAAATCCTCGTGAAAAATTATCGGCTGATCAACTTCGACAAATCCATAACAGATCATGTACAATCAAACAACGTCGACGATATTATAAAAACGAATTGATTTTCGAAAATATCGATTATCGTTTTTCAATAAAACAAATTAAAATGATATTAAAAGAAGAAAATATTCCAATTTATATCGTCAATACAACAACAACAACCGAAAACACAAGAAAATTGTTTGTCGCTGTTCGTAATGCAAAATTATTAAAGACATACGAACAACAAACTCAACATCTATTTACAAAAATACATTACGAACAACTTAAAGCAAATCGACGATTGTTACGAGATGCTCAACATTAAATTTTGATTTCTTTTATATATAATCATCTTAATGTTTTTGTTTGTCTTCGTTTTTTTTTCTATCTGAACAGATTTTGTTATTAACTCGTTCAGATTTTGTTATTTTTTTTGTTATTAACTCGTTCAGATTTTGTTATTTTTTGTTATTAACTCTTGTTCAGATTTCATTATATTTTTTCGTTGTAAACTGTTTGTTCAGATTTTGTCATTTCTGTTCAGATATGAACATGTGACACGTAGGAAATCTTCTTTATATTTTCTATATCGTTGTTACATTTTCTTGTTGTTATTATATCTACGTGATTCATCTTCATATTTCTTCCATTCTCTATCTACATTAAACGTAAAATGTTGATAGGATACATTTTTTTCTTGAAAGGGAGTGTTACAGTGAGATGTCGCTCACTTACACATTCGTATATATCCTCTATCATCTTCTTTAATCTTCTTTGGTCTTCTCTCTTCTTCCCTGGCTGTTCTCGCTATATATTTCATGTAATATAGAGTTAAGGAGATTCTTCTTGTTAAATAAAGTTAACGTACACGTTGTACGTACAGACAATACATCCCACACTTTAACATCTACGAATTTATATTATTATTGTAAATTAAGAGCAAAATTTTCCAATATATATCTGAATCATCATTTTGAAATACAAGTGTGAGTTGTACATACTAAACATTAGTTTATTAATTTGAAAAGTAAGTTCACCGAACGAATTTTTAGATGATTCAGATCTTTAATATCAAAAATATCGACTCATAACTTTGAAAAAGCAGGGTATGGGTGTCATGATTCCTGTGCCTGTACCAGAGCTACGCGGGATGGCCAATAGAGATGTCTCGTCCTGTCCCACTCAAACTTTTCCCGTGAGTCACGCCCCGTCCTGTTTTGTCCCATATCGTCTTCCATGTAGCTGTGTTTATGCACATAAAACTAACGTTTCTATGATAATTCAATAAGCAAAACCTAGAATTTAGCATACACTTTCTTCTGGAAGAATAAGTATCGCACTATTTAATATTCATCAATCACGTGTACATATATGTTAGGCTCTAATATGTATAGAACGAAAGAGACAAGCAGTGTCACTGATGTTATGTGACAGAACGACGAAAAAGGGGACATTCATGGGAATCAAACCCATATCTTATGCTATCCGGGCAGATGTACTACCGTTATACTAGAAAGCGCATCTAAATCATCGTTCAGCGTTAGTGCGAGCCAACACTGACGCTAACACTATAAAACATTTTCGACTTCATTGATCGTAATTGTCGATGCGATTTCGAGAGAAGAAGACAGGCACTTTTTTTATTTCCAACAGCTCCAGTTTTTCCTAGAAGTAAAATTTTATGCAATGTCAAAAATAAGAGAAAACTGATGAATTCAATTGTTAATCTGATAACAACAAAATATAGTATAACCTCAGTGAATGAAAGTAGTATTGTTTGTATGTCGTTCCTTTGCTTTGCAAGTCAGTGATAAGACGCGTCTGCTCTTGTCTGTTCAGTGCTGCTTTTCCGCTTCTTTTATTTTTCTTCGTTGTCACTTAATCTGAGTTTGTAACTTTCGGTTCGAGTGACAAATGTCCTCGTCTAGTGGACATGCACTTAAGAGAGAGTCCATGAGTCCATCGAGAAACCAAAGCACTCGATAAAATTTAGATTTTTGATTTGATATTTCCATCTTGTTCAGCATCATCTGAAACCTATGAATCCAAATTTTTACTGTATGGGTGTGGGGCGTGGGTGTGAGTGTAGAGAAAAAGAAGATCCACACCCACACCCACACCCAAGTTCAAATCGTCTGAAATTTTCAGGATATGTTGGGACTAGAGCGGGTAGTCTACGATAAAAATTTCAGCCCGAAAGATACAAGTTTAAGGAAGTTATAAGGTGAACACTGGTCAAAAATGACCCATTTTCCATCCTAGTTATTTTGCCTTCAACTATGTTTTTTCGAAATTTTTTTTCACCATTCGATAGAACATGCAAAGATGCAGAGCATCACGTTCTCCGATTTTTTTTAAGTTCATTTATAGCCCGAAAAATTTTGCACAAGTAAAAGTCCTTCAAAAAAGGTCAAAAAATTGCATGCAAATTTTGCAGGCGACCTTTTTTGGGCATAAAAAAAACTTTTTTCAAAAATCGGAGAACGTCATGCCCTGCGACTTTGCATGCTCTATCGAATGGTAAAAAAAACATTTCGAAAAAACATAGTTGAAGGCAAAATAACTAGGATGGATGTTGGAAAAACATGATTTTGAGAAAAACGCAAAAACATTTTTTCGAAGTTTTTGCTGTTTTTTAAATTTTCTGCAATTTTCACGCGTTTTTTGCGGAAACTCACCTAACTTGCCATACGTAACTTTTAATTCTGCACACGCTGAGCGCTTAATTAATTAATTAATCAGTCATTAGAGATTAAAGACCTAATTATACTGCCGTTTTTGACATTGAGGACCTCTGAAAGATCACTGAAAATTTCGGTCAAAAAATGGTCTTTGGGAAAAAAAACTATAGTAATTCTGAAAGAGCAAAACATGGGCTATCACCCCATGGTGTTATCTCAATTTTCAATTTTTTGACGAAAACCGACTTTTTTGGAGGGGTGGGTGGCTTAATAGATNGAAAGGTGGGTGGCTTAATAGATAAAGATAGTTATGAAAATATATGCAATTTAAATACCTACAGGAATGCCTTAATATTGATTGAAACAAAATCTTGAATTGCTTCTCATATATGGTTTGAGTAGGATTGGAAAAAGAACAGTTAGAGATCAGAATTAGAAAGAATAAAAAGAAGTAACTGAAGAATACTATGATGTTAGAAATAGATGTACTATTTTTAATAGCCCATTTTTTGATAAATATGAAAAAAAACAAAAAAAACTGTTTGTTGAATTCAAAAAATTATTTCTTTTCGAAGATAATTTAAAATCGATGTACATGATTTTTCAAAAGGATATAATAGGTTTAATAAAAGTCATAAAAAGCAAACAAAAACAAACTGAAGGTCTATGATACGTGTTACCAAAGTTTTACAAAGCTGTGTCTAAGATTTTATTGCAGATATTGATAGAAAAATAATGTGAATGTGTTTATGTTGTAGCAAAAATTTTAAGACCTGAAATTATACATTTTTCTACGACTTTTACTATGATTATGATCTTGCTTTTACGACGTTTCACAAAAAAGAAACGTTTTTCTGGAGGCGCTGATCTTGAAGAAACAATGACTAAAGTACTTGAAATTTTATAGTACACAGAAAAACAAAATTTGGCGACAGCCTGAATACTATTATATCAATTTCGAGATTAATTTAAAGTGCGACGTTGATTTTTTAAAATCATTAACTATTCATCGGACACATATGTGTGACATCTGCCTGGCCTATAATGCTGCAGCGTAATGGCCACAAGCTGTTACGCGATCACCTTCGATTGTTTATTCAATATGCGCCCCCTCTCTCTGCGCTTGATTTATCAAGCGCTATGCATCCTCGGATTGTTTTCATCTTGCACTTGTGAACTCTAATGGACGTATCATTACAACAATTATTTGTTGATAAATATCGTTCACATAAGATTCTGAGAATTGAGTTCGACAAACTTAAACAGGTTCGCTTATTGAAGTTGACATAATAATTGTTATAAAAATGATAATCGAAAAAAATGTATTTTTAAAATTTTAACGAACAACTATATCATCCTATTAAAATATCATATTTTCCCACAACAGTCGTTGTTTTTTGGTAGTCCCATAAGATACCTTCAACTTATACAACTTTTCTGTTTTTTTTATTAAACGATTTCTTTCAGTAAACAAAGTAAAGGCATTTTTGTCTGCGCTGGTCATGTCCTATCATTGAATTGAATTGAATTTTTCTTCACAAAAATCACATATTGGATTAGGACACTTAATTTTAAGATGTTCGTAAAATAATAATTCATCAAATGTATTCACATTGTAATTAAATAAAATATTATTAAGTACGTTCTTTTTGTTATATTTCGTAATCCTTAAATATATCATTCTCATGACCGAGCAGTATCTTTAAAAAAATTACATTTTGAATAGAAAATAATTTATAACTGGGTTTGTTCAAGACATTCTGTAAATTCAATTATATCCCGTGATGAAAAACATCTAATATTCAAATGAGATCAACATATATTACATTGACGATGTTCACATGACATTTAGCATAGTTGTTGTAAAATGAGATTACATAGTCAACAAATATATTATCCATTGATAGTTTTTCTGTTTCTTGCGTCAAAATCAAACACAATTGAACAACATTGTAAATTCAACTACGTAGTAGCATAACTTCTGCTCTTTATTCGTATTCTTTTCAATTTTGTTTTCATCAACAAAACATAAGTTTCGAGCTAAACATATAGAATTTCATGAAGCAGTCTGTTCAATTTTATTAGCTCAAAAAAGAAATAGAGAGATGATATTTATTTTATGATAATTAATCTTATATTTTCAACTTAGCCGTTCGTTGCATATAGCTACAAATCAGATGTGAATAGCAATGAAGTTAAACTGAGCACCTCATGATTTACTGATCCTGCCGTAGTGTAGACTAAGAAGGAATACAATTGGAAAAGGTAAAACAATTTCAAATGTTTTGCCCGCAGTGATAATAAAAGGGTGTTGGTGTGGATGTGATTCTTCTGCTAATGTATACCCACACCCACACCCTATGATCTTGTCGACATATTCAATTGCGATGAAACTGGACTTTTTTACAAGATGATGCCTAATCGATCATTAACTGTAGACAAAAATGACTGTAAAGGAGGGATAAATCAAAGGAACGCTATACCGTGATGTTGTACACCAATTGGGCTGGAAATGAAAAGTTGAAACCAGTTGTCATTGGTATGTGAGTCTTCATCAATTTTTATTTTATAGTAGCTCTTTTTTTTATTCATGTTGTAGCTAAATCAGCCCGGTCCAGATGTTTCAGAAATATTGACTTCAAGAAGTTACCCCTCTTACGGTACAGTAATCGTAGCTCGTGGATGACTTGTTAACTTTTTACTGAATGGTTGCAAGATTCCGATATGATCATGCGGAAACAAAAAAGACACATTCTATTCTTCCTTGACAATGCACCAGTTCATCCTCCAGATGTACAATTAGAAAAACAACAAAGATTCAACCGATGGATCAAGGAGTTATTCGAGCACTCAAAGTTTATTACCGACGTCATCTAGTCAAGCTTATAATCACCGGTGCTGGTGTTGCTGTGACGGCCGACGATGTTAATATTACTGCTTTAGATGTTGTCTATTGGATTCAAGGCGCATGTGAAGCAGTGTCAGAAACAACAATAAGGAACACATTCAAATCAGCCGGTATTGAAAAGCTGTCTGTTATCGATGGAATCGATGCAGTACAACAAATTTCAATAACAGATGAAATTATTTCTGCAGAAGATAAATCAATTGAAGAATTAGATCGAGTATTGAGACATTTAACCATCGGTGGAAAACCAATGTCTGGCTATGATATTATGTGGTGAGATGCGGGAGAGAAATTTGGAAAAATATTTTGCTTTTTTACGTTTCAGTGTTTCAGAGTACTGATGATAATGCTCCATCATTTAACGAATGGAATGATTCGAATGATAAATTATTAGTAATTAACGGAATTATCAATGATNTACTTTCCCTCCAGGAAAAATTAATATATTTTGTGGTTTCACATCTATTCAACAGAAATTTTATTTCGATTATCAAATTCAATGGAAAAAAAGTACGAACCTCTACTAATTGACGAGCAATTTTTTGTACCTTAGAAGAAAAACGATACTAACCGAGGTGAATGAATCCTATGACGGATCCTATCGGATCTGATGGGACCCTATCATCCAACAGAATCCGATGGGATTCCGGGTTACGGATTGACTGTCGGTTCCGACGGAAAAAAAACATTTTCTTAATTAGGGGTGAATATGCATATTTTCTCATAAGAACACTAGGGTCATACGTTCATGTCGGATTCCGTTAGTTTCCAACACTGGATCCTATAGAATTCCAACACCAAGGATCCGACTGTAGGTCCTGACCCCGGAATCCTATAGGATTTCGTTGGTTTTATTGGAATCCATAGATATTTGGTATATTCACGGTCTGACCCTTGTCGGAATCCGATAGGATCCTAGTCTTGGAATGACTCTCCTGGAAATATGTAAATGCATTCGTTTATCTTATTTTCGACTGCTTATATTGCAACGATATACTTGTCCGATGGTAGACAGACTCGATCTTAGGTTGATCTTCCAGTCTGTAACATTTTATTTTCAACTTTAAATTCAATAGCAATATCTCGATATTATAAATGTCTATGAAGAATTTCATTCGTATTGTCACTCATTGGTTTTCCTGATAATCTTGACTTTGTTTTATTTGGTAGCTGAAAAAATAAAAATAGGCATGACAGATTCAAATCGTATTAGTTTTATAAAATCTTTGAAGAGTTTTAAATAGAGAAGTATACTCATTGAGTTATTTAATTATGGTCTGTTTATCCAGTGAGACAAATATGATTTTAATTATCATTTGAAGCATCTCTAATCGTAATTTCTCAAAAACTAAAAACTCCTTGGTATATTGCTTCTTCGTGGGGCAAAGAGTCAACATCCGTCTCATAGGCAAGAAGTCATTTAAGAAAAATTTAAGTGTTTGTTTCTTTCGATCAGGTAAAAGCATTTTTTGTTTCCATGATTGGTTACTTGAAGAATGAATGCTAGTAAGTTGTAAATAGACAGAAGAAGGAAAAATATAACTTTCAGGGTATCGTGACACATGCTACGTATCAGTTCAATTAGAATTTTTTCAAACATTTAAACTACTATTGCTCATATTTGATAGCAATAGTGTACGATACGATTGGATTATTAGCAAAGAAAGAACTGTTAAGAAAAATCAATAGAATTGAATTTTTTGTAACATTTATACTTCGCTTCTGCACGATAAAAATGAAATACATAACGACTAAATATAACGATATTTCTGTAAGAATGTGATTTTAGCAAAATATTTTAAGTTATGTCACGTGATCTGGTAGATTGTTTAAAGTAGGAAAAAAAATTCTGTTTGTTATATTTACAAGCCATCAAATTACAATACTAAAATATCTTCTTTTACCAGTGTTTCCAGTAAGAGAGTAATTAAATTCACACATCATTTTAGGAAGAATTTAAAAAAAGTTAATCTTTAAATTTCTTTTTCTTTTGTTTACCTACTTTTCTTTTTGTATTGACTGAATACATTTCAATAAACAAAAAACATGTTTCCATTAGTTTAAATAATCTTTTACCTGAACAGAAATTATGAAGAAAAAACGTTTTTTATTCTTTTCTTTTAAAACATTTGTTTTTTTGAAAACGTATATAATTAACTTTCGTCCGGCCAACTTCAAAAGAAAATTGCATATAAAATCATCATTGGATTGTGCTTAAGTTCCAGTTTCGTTATACATTTGTCAATCTAGACAGATGGATTCGTTCGTCTAACACTAACAGTAAAAAATGATATAATATTCTATTTTCCTATTGAAATAGATCTCTTCTAAAAATACTGTTAAATCGCAGTTTTATATTAAACAAATGCTCGAGAAAATATTTCTATCTCTTCCAACTGTGTGAATAAAAAACATTTGTATTTTATACAGTTTTTATGTCACTGTATAGAAGGAGTTTGCCGAAAAAAGGCCAATGAGAAAACAGAAATAATCTGAATCATCGTAGTAACAAATATGAATGAAAAAAACAAAGAAACACTGCCTATCAATTAAGATATATGATGTATGTCCTTGAATAAGTGCAGCCATCACCATCAGCACAACAGCTTTTAAAATATGTGCTGTTCTTTCTTTCTTTCTTTCCTGTCTCTTTCTTTCTTTCTTTCTTCAAACTTACTTGATGTTGCTTTGATAGTGCTCACCTGTTAACGCATATACTTATATATAAATATGCATCAACAAACGAAAGAACGAACAAATTACAAAACTGTATTATAGTCTCCTATGACAATTTTATTCTGCTGTCGACCTGTCTTCATGCCGTTTCCTCTTTTTTTTGTTTTGTTTTATTATTTCGACAAATGATTAATTTAAATTTTTTAGTTTTATTGGCGGTGTGTACTGTCGAACACTAACAAGTATTCTTTGAATTCTATGCATGTGTATATCAGACAAGATTAGGTAAAAAAATAAATCTTTGTATTTCATGTGTTTTCTTTTTCTGCCAGAATTGGTGCGTCATGAAAACGTTTTGTTTGTATGAGAAAGAAAGAAGAAAATAGAAAACGGTCGGTGCATTTTATTTCTGCTTTTTTGTTCTTTTTAGAGAATACAAGTTATTTCAATGTCTGCAAAAGAACGTCGACGTCGACCACAGCCCGCAGGTATGTTTAGAACTATTGCTTTTCTTTTTCGAGATTATATTCCTTTGTTATGTACAGCTCAAGTGAAAATAGCCTTTGGAAACGAAGATGATGATAAGGGAAAACAAAAAATATCAGAAGAAAATAATTCAAAATTACCACATCAAATCTTGAATAAAAATATAGATGATCGTAGTTCAGACAAATTATATGAACGAGCGTTATTTACAATCAATAGTGTTACCGTAGAAATTATATTAGAAAATGATACATTGAGTTGGTCAACTGTCACTGGCGAAAGTATATTTAAAAGATTGAATATAGATTTTAAAAGTTAATTTATATATTTTTTTCTTTTTAGCTTCTCATGATGAAACTAATCGAAGAAAATCTACAAATCGAGAGAATGTAAATTCAGTTAATATACAAAATGTTTATGCAATTTCACCAATGTATGCTCATCAAAATTGGTCATTAGGTGGTGAAAATTTGAGTGGTACTTCTGTATCGACATCAAATACAATTATTTCATTAGCAGCACCTTCATCAACTTCAGCACAAGACTCAGTTTTGCGTGGTTTTCAGTTACACTCTTATCAAACTATGCCAGATAGCATATTACAAGAAATGCTTATTATATTTCAAAGTAATCAACCTAACCAAATAGAACACTGGTATCATCTATTATCGAAAATTATTTCAGACTGTATGTAGCATATAAAACCATGAGAATAATTTTACTTATGGTATTTTTTTAGGTAAATCAATACGTCATATTCTTGTTATGTTAAATCCATATGCTGGCCCAAGACGTGCTCGACATACATACTCGACGAAAGTAAAAGCCATGTTAGAACGAGCACAACATAAAATAACATATATAGGTATATCTTTCATGGCTACATTTAATTCTTCAATTTGCTTTTTATCTAGAAATTGATGATCAATTTAATGCTGATGAAGCATTAGATAATTTTGAGGGTGATTTTGATTCAATCGAGGGGTATGGAAATATTCTCTTAGTTCTATTTTCTGTTTTGATGAATTTAGTGTTTTTCTATTAGTTTAGTTATTATTGGTGGCGATGGGTCAGTCATCAATGTTATCAATGGATTAATTCACTATTTAACAAAAGAAAATCGAACTAGGTAAAAAAAATAAATTAGTAATTAAAATTAAAATTATTCACAATTTTTAAATATAGATTAGATATTGAACATGACTTACCATCAATACCTTTTCCAATATGTATCGTTCCCGATGGTAGAAGATCTATTAAAAATTTTATTTTGAACCATCATTATTTTTAGGTACAACAAATATTATTTGTAATACCATTCATGGCAACACAGATCATTGTACACCAATATTACATTTACTTTTTAGTAGGATAATAAAAATCTATTTAATCTATTATCTCTCATTTATATGTTAGATCAGCAAATGAAAATCGATATGTCAGCCGTATTTGATATTGATTATAACTTTGCTACTGCAAATTTTAGCACTGGTGCTGGTTATCCAGCTAATGTTTTGAAATATTTTCCACGCTATAGTTTAAATAGTACGAAAGCCGTCATTAAAAAATCATTTTCCAAAGCAGCTTCAAATAAAAATCTGAAGTAAGAATTTTTCTCATAAAATAGGAATACAATTTTCAATGCTATACCAAAATTTACAGTCAATGTAATGTTCCAAAGGTTAAAATCAGGCAAACAAAAAAGAATCTATAATTAATATGAATAACACACGTTGCGTGTCGGATGAAACGTTAAAAATGAATAATGTCTAGATTGATTTATTTTTCTTCGACAAATCTTAATATTTTACATAATTAAACCATTCATTATTTTCGATCTTAATTTAATTTTGTTTATAAAAATTGAATAGACCTATGGAAATGAAAATAAGATACATTCCAGTATATCAAGATATTGGACCCATGACTCGTTGCTATCGAGGGTAAAAGAAAATAATCAGCTATTGATTTATTTACTTTTTGTTTTGTTTATTTTCTATAGTTGTCCATCATGTACGCCAGCATTAACAGAAAAAAGTGATGATCAAGTCAAAACTTTTGATAATTTTCATGTTCAACAAATAAGCAGAAGGAAGAAATCATCATTAACATCGAACAATGATTGTAATAATCGTTTAACGTCAGCCGGAAAGAATTCTTCTAATCAGTCGAATGAAAAAGAAAAAAATTGGAAAACACTTGATAATGAATATTTGCAAGTAGTTGTGTTAACGAATGCTTGTTTATGGTCATTCGCACCACAAGGTTTATCGAAATTTGGTCATCTAGCTAATGGTTTGCTTGATTTAGTTTTGATTGAGCCAGTTGGCCGTAAAGACTTTCTACGTTATGTTAGACGTAATGGAAATTCAAAAAATCAGGTATACAAAAACGAAAGTATAGAGTAGTATTACTACTTTCTTTTTTTAAATTTTTAGTTGGAGCTTCCCTTCACGAAATTAATCAAAGCAAAAGAAGTGGAAATCGAACTGAAATCATCACTCGATAATATTTGCAATGAACTATCAAATACTGATAATCAGTTCGATTCATCACTGTCAGATGATTCTTCCAATGATGATATGTCGGATAATGACAGGAAACAATCTAGTTTAAAACGACACGAACCTCGCCCACCGAGTGCACCAATGTCAGAAGATAGTCGACGCCAGCGTCGCCGTCGTCATCATCGAACAAATGAGCAAGCACCAGAATCTTCTCACAACATGATTCAGTCATCTCATTATTCCAAAAACCGCCATAAACAACAAGAAAATGAAACAGACAATCCACAAATCGATCCATACGGTTCAACAACATCGCTTCGTCGTAGTGGAATTTTTCAATCATTAAAATTAAAAGCTGATAAACTACGTTTACCACGTCCATCTAGTGCTCGTGGCGGAGAACCTGATGATGAAAAACAGCAAAAAAAGAATCGAAAATCAGCTGGAGGAACCCTTCGACCAGCAAGAGTAAGTCATATCCGAATTTGAAGAGTTGTAACCTATAAAGTGTCAAAAACATATTTGATCAGTTTTACTTGTGCTCTAAACATGTTCGCAGATAAAATTCAGACCATGTAAAATATGTGACAGGATACAAATAATACTCGTGGGATTAAAAGACAAAAGAAAAAGGACATCCTAATTATAAATAACCCGATCAGACTTTGAACTTGCTTCTTCTTTAAGAGCATCAGAAAAAGTATCTCTGCAGTACAGAGCGAGAGTAGTTTATTGTGGAAATTGTAAGTCTTTTTATCTGCTCTTATCCAGAAATAAGAACATCAAATACATAGGTTTATATGAGTGATATAAACAGTACTGAGTTAAGTATTCAATCGAATGCTAACGAACAAATATACTATTTTCTTAGGAATACAATTGTTTTCAGGCTACTCGGCTCCTATATGGGCATATATAATTCACATAGTCTTTAGTCACTAGTGATTAACTAGGCGTGATATTTCTATCTTCACATTTCTTTCGATAAAAAACATACAGAAGCAAAATCTATCGATTCGAATACCGACAACAGTTTCTTCGCGAGATCAGATTCACACTATGGTTAACACAATTTCTGTCATCCAATATGTTTCATTTCCAACTTGAGACTATTAAAACAAGACCTATTGAATAATTGATTCGAGCCAAAAGCATTAATTTCATTTTTAGTCTTTACTAAACTTATTGTCGCCTGGCACTTTCTCAACAGGAAACACTGATAAATCGTCAACAAATTTATCGCGTGATTCATTTTCTTCTGGTATTAATAGAAGACCATCAGTCATCAGTCGATCATCAAGTGTAGACAGTCCAAAAATATCAAATGATCATGATAAACATCGAAATAAGAAAACAACATGTATGTGGAATTTAGATTTTAGTCCATATAATTCATCATTGATAAGAATTAAGTAAGAAAAAAAACAGGTAGAATATCTTTGCATATATATTTCTATGTATTTTTTCAGATGTTTTTATCGATATTTACCGGTTTATGGCGTTGGTCTTGATCCTCAAACGAAATTGACAGAAGTCAACTATTCATGTTTTGGACGACTTGGTTAAATCTATCGTTGGTTTTATTGTTTTCTGCTGATTTATATCAAAATATTTATATACATATATTTTTTTATAATCACAAATGCATTTTCATTGGTATCAAATTTCACAGCGAGGCTAATACATGAATAAAGTAATCTTATGGCACATTGGCGCGGCCACGCGTTACGAAACTTCGTTTTTTTACATTAAGACCTGTATAATTTCTCCGTATTAATAGCAAACTGTTTGAAATTTTCACCGCAGATAGATATTCTTTAGACGTATTAGCAGCGCAGCCCGTCGAGTCCAAGAATTTTTGTACCCGAACCCGTCCGATTAAGATTGCTAGACCCTTAATCCGAACCCGGTACATCAAAAGCTTTTGGACCGATACCAGTGGTGGTACTATAACTTTGAAACTACTCTGATGAAATGATTCAATTTAAAGTAACATACCTCACCTTTTATCTTTGAATTAAAATTTGAAGCTAAAGCAAGCACGCCTTACACTTTAACTTTCTAAAACGTCAAAATTTAAAATATATTTTTCAGAAAAAAGATTGCAATAAATCTTTCTTTTGTTAAAATTTGTTTTTAATGAAAAGAACCCACGACGAACAATCCGATCGATTCTTGCAGGAACTAGTCAAAGCTCGATAGGTTTCTTTAGGACCTTGTTGGATTTGCTCGGGTGTTCACCGGATTCCAACACTAGGGATCCGTTAGTAGTTCCTCAACCCGGAATCTCATGGGACTTTGTCGGCTCATCGAATTTTATAAGATTCGATCGAATTCGGTATCGAATTCATTCACCTGGGAAAATAGTTCTAAACAAAAACAAAGCGCTGATGAAAAAATCTATTTGAACTTTAACTCTTTGGACCGCAAATTTTAAGCATGCTTTTTTTACTTAAAACTAAAGTTGAGCTGGCATTCTTAAAAGATACCTGGTTAATTAATCAACAATAGACCTGGAATGAAAGGTGCTCTTAAACTTGTAATCAAATTTTGTCGACCTCCTATATATTTCCGAAGAAAATGATGAATGTAAGTATAAAAGCGAGGTTTTTACGACTTCCCACCCTCAACCCTCCCCATTACAGAACCCACCCGCAATTACGGTAACCACGATGCATTATAAACATTAGCAATCATGGAACAACTAAATAAGACATTTTTTCTACGGATCGATTGTCTTACCGTGCATTGCGAACTTTACATATTGTGTATTAGTTGAATTAGACCAAAAAATCATATGTGAGTTCCACATTTTAGCTGCGAAGGGGCTGCGCTAACACGTTTCTAATCGAATCTGGTGATCACTCCGAAGATACAACATACTTCTTTCCTTTTGTGCTAGACAAGTAATACATTTTACATGTTCTTTCAAGAATGAATGGATTAAAGTGTTTATATTGTTTTTCTTTTGTTACATAACTTGACCATTAACAATATCTTTTCCTTTTCACTCAATTATATGCATAAAAATTTTCTTGTAATCTGACACAATGAGTAAAAACTATTTCGTCTGAACCCGGACCCGGATCTGACGGGCTCTCGTTACCAGTAGATTTTGATGCAAATTGTTTTTAAGTAGAAATGCCTTTAGACATTTTCAAAGCGCGCTTATTCTATCATAAACGTATTGAACGACTAGTAAACACATAGTGATCATTTTATTTTGGATACAGGTACTAAATTTTTACTAAAATATTTTTATATTAATTCTTTCGGAAGTGAATTACTACATACAATAACAGTTAACTGACTTGTTAACAAAAAAAGTATTGATTTTCTACTGATTTAACACATCATATTATTATGTTCGAGACCTTGTTTTCTAATAATTTGATAAAAGACGAATCGTAATATGGTATTCATATACGATAAAGATATATAAATTCAATATGAATTAGTTAAGGGGGCCCCACTCCTTAAAAAAGTCGATTTTTCCAAAAAGATTTAAGTTTGAATTTTTATCATGGGTAGATGCCTCAAAGTCTCCTCTTTCAGAACATATATATATTTTTTAAAAAAGGTTCGATTTTAAGGGACTTATCGAAAAAATACTAAAACGTACTGCATTGTTTTTCGAGAAAAGACGAGTCATTTTTTTATCGAACTATTTTCTGGAAAAAATAGTTACATGGTTGGAATCAGTATAAAATTCTGAACAAAATACTGTACTTTGTTTGGGAAAAAAATTATTTTTTTTTTGTAAAATCATTGTGCCTTGGTCACCCACCCGAAAACGAAAATTTTTTTTTCTTTTGTTTTCCCGGACTTTGATCTGGACATAGCTTATTTAGTACGCTGATCACGAATAAGAGGTTTTTTTCCCATGAAAATGTTCTCTGAATAAAAAAAGTAGAAGTTCTCGACCAGACGACGATTTGTTTTTACCTTGCTTTACAGATCGCTGTCATGTAATTAAAGAAATCAGTTTAGGAAAGAATAAATACAACGCATATGTGCAGAAATGATAGTTCTATCGATTTCATTCAGTTGAAAGGGTTAAAAGCAATGTTAGTTATGTTTAATAGGTTAAAAACTCTCATTTTTCATAAGTATAGGCGCGCCAGTTGAAAGAATAGAGCTAATAACCAAGATCGTTTATAGATGGAGTGAATTGATATCATTCATAACATCACCGAAAAGGTTCAGTGTAACAATATAACAAATATATCCTCTTTCGAATTTTCTTCATGTTTAAACAATAAAAAATCATTCTTAAATTTATTTATCGTTTTTCTCAAAACAAGATTTTTTCTCAGAAAAAATGGAACTAGTTTCAAGCGTTTTAAGATATTAAGGTCATTTTTATTTTATTTTGAAGCTTGAAGTGTAAGTAAAATCTTGTCCGAACAGATTTTTTATATTTGATTCTTGAACTGAGAAAAGTCGGATTTTATACCATCAGGTGGCCATTTTAGCCAAATTTTGACCCCTATCCGAGTAAAATGCTTGTAAAACACGAACGAAAGCAAATTTTAAAATTCTGTTCTGACAAAAGTTACATATTGGTGCTGGCTTTAATTTAAAACAAGCGCAACTTTTATAGCTCTCCTACTGGCAGAGCCTTAGGGATTCTCCTGGTAGCCATAATTCGTATGTAAATAAGCCATATTTTCGGTTCACTTCAATATATCGAGCTGAAATTTTTATCGCGACTGTTTCTAATGAAGATCAGTCACCCCTGAAAATTTCAGCTCAAACGGACCTTTCTAAGTGACAGCTCAGAGCTGAGGGGGTGGGGCCCTTAAATGTTGAATATTTCTGCAGTACTTTGAAATAGAAATATTTTAACGTTAAACATTGGATTCACACTATAAAATAGATATATACTTTTCTTTTTCTTATAATATTACAGATGAAGAGAATGATGATAGAAATCAAATAAAAACTGAGTGAAGGTAACTGAATGTTACTAAACCAATCGGATTTAAACAATTCAATAAATCGATTTCAAAGATCGTTCCTTTGAGAACTAGATTTGGTTCTTTTTTTGTAGAAAACAACACTCGAAAATATAATAATCGTTTTTCTATGATAATGTTGTCATAGAATTCATTATATAAAAGAATATCGACCATGAAACATGCTCTACACAATGACTACAAATTTATTGCTTTAGTTGATTGAATAAGAAAGTTATTATTTTAGACATATCAATAGCATGTGTCATGCATTGGGTGGATTCTATTTTTCAATCGAAGTAACTCGCCACAATAAAAAAAGATTTTTGTAAGTTTCTTTTTGTATATTCCCATTTTCAAAAGTAATCAAGAAACCAAAACTTTTCACCATCAGCACGCGTTATGTTTTCGTATAAAGGCAAAGTTTATGTACGACAACATCCTTGTTCAGTAAACATATTAAATATCCAATTAATTATCGAATAATTTTGAAAACCGCTTTATAGTAAGAAACAATTGCTCGAGGCCTGTTTAGCTCAAAATATTTTATTGGTTATTATAAAAGTATTAGCGATTAATTTTATTTTTGATACGATCAACATGATTAAGCTAATAACTTTCTTACAAAATGAACGTAAAGAATCAATTTATAGTTATTGTGAAACACGCGTCCTACCGTAATCTTTTCTCTGTAAACACATTACTATCAGAACAGCTATTATGTAAAAACAAATATGTATATCGGCTTGTCCCGTAACGCGCTACTTCGCTGATCGTTTAAATTTTTTTTTTTCGATATAGACAGATGTAAGCGTATTTTCTGGTATAGTTTTTAACGCTGATTGTGAATTTGGACTTTTTTCTTTAAGAAAATTAGGTTTTGGCATCGAAAATCGGGTTTTTAAAGTTTTTAAAAACTGTATTTTCAATTTTCTAAACAAGAAATTTAAAATAAAAATGCAGAGTAATATACCATTCGAAGCAGAATTTGATTCTCTACAAAATGACCTATTAATTTTTTACTCTCATTCTTCAGGACAACTTCTAAGCTCTTGTACAGTTTCTAACTTACTATGCAATTATTGAGCTCGTATTTCGATGTAGCAATTTGATCTTTTTACAGAACGATATATGCAGGGCATTGATCAATATACGTATATAAACGTTAAATATTTTTAAGCATGTTAAGTGCTTCAAATTTTGTCGACAAAAAAACGCATCACAGCGTCACGTTTGTTTTTTGCATGTTTTATCTGAGCAAAAATAGTTTAGAAAAAAATATTTTCTACTGCTTGAAAGCCCATTCAATTCTGTACAAAACTGGTACCATAAGCTTTTCATCTGAAGAAATAATTTGTCAAAAATTTAACCTTTATAAGCAGCCCTAGAAAAAAAGGGTCCGTTTTTGTCACAATGTTACGCGATGATAAAACCTTTCTAGAAGCGTGAGAGTTCAGCCAAACTATGTCGTTCTTTCACCATAAATAGAGTATGATAAGCTGCGTCGAATGGCGTTTGAACGATTTTATTAGCTCTTATGCCTTTCGAGATAATTGCAAAACAATTTACCAAAATGTCACAGCGTTACGTTTGGACAAGCCAATATAT